ATCAAAAAAGTAGTGGCACCTGGACCTTTGTCATGGGCTCCATGTTTCTACTGTACTTCAGAGATGCTGCATGCTGCAGAAATTACAGTCTGAAAATGGGTATTTTATCAGAAACTTCTAGTCTGCAGTATTCAGGGAGAATGACAAGCTTTTTTCTCCTTACTAAAATGAGCCACAGTTTTCCCTTAAACCCATATGCTTTTAGCTTGCTGTGTAATCTACAGCACTGCAGCTGCTGAACTAACCCCGGGGTTCTCAGCACTAACAACTACAGCAAGTAGCCAATTTAAACAGGTGAAGAGAACTATTAGCTCCAGAATAGTTACAGAACCATTTAGGTTGGAAAAGTCCTTTCAGATCATTGATTCCAACCTTTCACTGGGTAACATTATGCTTACTGATAATTAAGTTGCATTCTCTACTAATACTGAAGTTACACAGCCTAAAATAAGGTGGCAAGTTCTTGAAACTCAGGGTCTTTGAATGATCCCCCTCAGGTTTCCATCACAGCCATTGGGAGTCCAAGGCAGACTCCACTGAAATAGGTTGTTATCTCTAACAAAAAGCCTGATGAGAAATACCAAGAAAAAAAGGTTTTGGTAGAAGAGTTCATGTCTGCTAGAACTGACTCGCTCTGGATTCTCAGTGTTAAGAAGAATTGGTTCTTCCTTCATTATGCCATTTGATTTGTTCATATAAGTAAATTAACCTAATCATTCTATAAAACATTATTGATATGTTCCTTCATAATGCTTAGAGTTAATGCTTGTTTACTCTCTCACTGTGACAAATTAGACCACCTACTCAGACACTGTATTTATTACTGAAGGAACACACATGGAGTGCTAAAAGCCTGTGGTAATACAACTGCAATATTCAGTTGCCTTTCCAGGCAATAATCTTGATAGCTAAACAGTTTAGTTCCCCCTCATAAAACCAGAAGGAATATAACAGAGAATCCTAAATAGTTAGCTGAGGAAAAAAAATAAAGGAGAACCTATAATGGAATTTTCCCAAAGCTTAACAGTAGCACTGATCAACACCACCGTGAACTAATAGTGGACACTGTGTATTCCAGTCTTTATGTGATGCTTTTTAGCAAAGGTGTTTGGACAAAAGCTAAAAATAAAGACCACACTGCAAAAAAGCAAACTCTGCCCTTCAAGTTCAAAGAGCTTTTCATTCAGCAGAAGACACTCATAACACGTGGCTTGAGCCCACAAACGTGTCTAGGGAGAAAGCCAAGTCAGGTCCTCTGTTTTCATACATTTATTCAGAAATGTTTCCAGTGCCCTAAAAGGATTTTTTTTCTATTCAGTTAGTGGTTTAAAAATAGTTATTATTCCATTTTTCCACATATTTTAACCTCTGTTATTCTGTTTCACCACACTGAAGTTGCTCAAATCCCTGATATCCCACTGAGCTGATCTGCATCCAAAATTTGATATGAGTTCCATCCATCCTTGGTTTCATGTATTTATACACAGGTTACTTCATTATAGACACAGCAGCCTTACAGATAATTAACACAAATAAGGAGGTAATAAACACACATGTAAATCTTCATTTGATTAAGTTCTTGTGCTCTGACAAGCAAGCATGGATTGTATCAAAAGCATTTTTAGGCCAGCATTTCAACTGCTGCATTATCAGAGATTTATCCAACATCAAACAAGTTGTGCAAGTCAACACACCTGAAAATTCAGATCTATCTCAGCCTTTAATAACATATGACAGCAACAAGATCAAGACACAAAACCCTGCCTGTGGAAAAAAGATAAAAATGGAAATGCTCAGGAAAAGGGGAACAAACCCACCACCACACAACAGACACTAATGTCATGAGTACTGCTTGCTGTGATGGTACAACATAGACAGATTTTACTAAAACTGCTCAGCATGAAAAACAACAATTCCATACAAATTCATCTGAGTATTTTTGAATGGACAGGACTTCAGATCCTGCCTGGCAACAGTTGCTCAATTATGTGTTACTTTTATTACACACAAGACTTGGCAGCAGCAGAGAACGTATGTCTGGGACAGTCCTCAAAAAATTTACTAACACTTCAAGATACACAGGCCAAGTTACAATATGGAGAGATCCTTAAAATAGTTCATTTTGCATGTAATTACTCACTGATAACAGAGGGAGCAGAGTGAAGTTTGAGATTCGGTGATGAATTAAAGCCAATTGCCTCTTTCGTGCAGTAACAAATTGTAAAACCAACATCTCTGTTGATGTCCTGCTGCCAAAAGGATGTTTCAACAACAACTGTGTTACCAGGAAAGTCTTACATCACTAAGCAATTTGTAGCTCTACACTGGAAGTATCATACGAAAACAAGCATCCAGCTTCCAAAACAGCCTCAGCACACATCCATTCCTCAGGCAGCAGGAAAAATAAATGCCGGCATTAAGATCCCCTTTTCTTTTCGACTGTGCAACCATTTAATATTCCCCACACCAGTGTTAACCAAGTTCATCACAAAAGCCAACTTCTGTCCTGTGTTTGCCTGCAAGCACCAAACTATAATTAGATGCCCAAATGATGAACGATAGGGAGATACTTGTACCAGTTCTTGAGGCTTGACCAGTTCTTGACACAGTATAATATCCTGAAAGGAGTCACCACTACTTCATATCAAATGCATTGAAAACAAGCAATGAGAAATAAAGGCACATCAAGTCAAGAGCGTTACTCAGTGTCAAAATCTGTTCTGATTTAAGAAACTGTTAGACAAAACAACATCCACATTTATTCTGAAATCCTACATTGCGATTACCACACCAGCATTTTGAAACATCAAGAATCATATCACAGCCAAACCACGAAGGATAATGACATAGACACATAACTCCCACTCTTACAGAGCCTTCTGCTTCCAACAGCTTCACTGAGCTCGGTGAAAAAATAGCAACGGCAAAACAAGGAAAACGGAAATAATAAAACTTCAAAATAAGCGAAACAATAAATCTCAATATGCAATAGCCGTCTTTCCACCTTCCCAAAAGGCAGCTTGGTCAAGGCTCCTTTCAGAGCATCTCTCTGGAAACACTGACACCTCTGCAGGGAGGCTGCCGATACCCCCGCACAGGAAGGGTTTACGAGCGACAGAACTCCAGTGTATGGAAAGGGAGAGGAAACAGCCGAAGCACTACAGCACTCACATATTAATGGAACTACTGGAGAGCTGCGAGCCGCCCGCCAGAGCCCAATCCCGCATTTAAGGGAGAAGGCAATGAGAGAAGAGGAAACAGAAAGGGGGGGAAAAAAAAGTTTCCCCGTCTCTCCTTCAAGCAAATGTAAATTTGTTCATTAGATCCTCAGCCTTTCAGGAACAGTTACATAAAAATATGTAGAATGGGTAATGCCTAGAATAGGATTCCTTCCACTTGGAGAGGCTTTGCCGGATGAACCCTGAGACTGAGGGAGGAGGCCGGCGCTGCCTCCCGGAGCACAGAGACTCCGGCCGGCTGAGCCCCGGGCTGGGCTGCACCTCCCCAGCCCTGCCCGCTCCGAGGGGCTGCTCCGAGGGGCTCCGGCAGCTCCGCCGCACACCGCCGGCAGGGCGGGAGGCGGACGGGGTTTGTGTGCCATGAAATGGTGGATCTGCCTGTCAGGCACATTTCACGATACGGAGCGATCGTGAGCCCCTGCAAAGCGCAGCCGGGCAGGGGGAGCGGGCGGGGAGCGGGACCGGCAGCGGCAGGGCCCGCAGGGCTGTCAAGCCCCGCCGCCTCTCCCCGCCGGGCCGGGCGGCCCCAGCACGGCCCCCCCTCCGCCAGAGCCGTACTTACGTGAAAACAAAAAATAAAGTAGTCGAACCCACTAATAAGGCAGCTGCAGTGGAGACCGGGATGTATTTAGTAGGTTTAAACCTCTTTCCAGTGCTGCTGGGCATCCTGTAGCTTACACATCACTGTGTAAATCCAACCCGAGAGGAGGGCGCCGGGAGGATGCGGGTCCCTCCGGCGCGGGGAGAGCGGGACCCGGGCGGCAGGGAGGGACGGGAGAGGGACGGGAGCAGCTGACCTCCAGCACAGGAAATCCCACCCACACCGCCCAGCCCACTCAGCTGATGTCAACCAGCCCCTTAAGGTAGCGCTGCGGGGAGACGGCGAGCGGGGCTGCGGGAGCTCCCGGGGCGGCCGAGCCGCCGCCCTCCCGCAGCGGGGCAGCCCCTGCGGACAGCGCGGGGCCGGCTCTCTCCTTGTTACAAGAAAAAAAGGCGATGTATGGAGCTCCCTGTGCGGGACACGACAGCCCTCGCAGAGCTCCCTGCACAGGGAGGAGGCGGTGCAGCCGCTGCAGCACCGCGGGGCCGGCGGGGAGCGGGGCCGGGGGGTCCCTGCGGGACGGGGCCGGCTCGGCACAGACCGTGCGCTGCAGCTCTGCCAATAAACCCTGCTTTTCATTCTGCCAAACACGGAGTCACGGTATTAGGGGGACTGCTGCACTCTGCCAAATTTAACCGATTCCAAAATTAATAACTGAGCGCGAGCATAACTGAAATGGCACTATGCTCTGTGCTTTTTAAATCTATCCATTAGCATCAGGAGGCAGACAGAAGAGGTAATTTAAGGTAACATCAGGAAGTTCACCGAATCAGCATTCTCGAGAGCAGTGTGTGAATGGCTCCTCTGTTCAGGCTCGGGGCACCACCCAGCAGCTCGCCTTGGTCAGGAGGAAACCATCACATAGGGAGAGTGGTCCAAGGCCACCGGGAAGTTTAGAAATCCAGACCAGGAGCTGCAGCTTGCTCCCTCCCTCAGCTAATCCCCCTTTGGCAGCTGCCAACACGCAGATAAAGTAACCACTTCGTAAGACAACAAAAGCCACATTTGCAGTGTCTGCTGGTTGTTAAAAGCAAGCTCGCCCCAGAAGGTATAGAAGGTATCCACTGCGGTTCTCTTCTGAAAGGACGTTACCATTTCTCATTTCAAGAGACTCGATTAGTTCCCCTGTTCTAGCGGTCTTAAGAACTGAACAAGTAAAACCCAACCAAAAAGCCATAGGGGTCCTCAACTCTGCAGTTTGAAAAAAAAAAAAAAAAAAAAAAAAATTGTGAGCATCAGCATTAACAAAGCCAGCCAGTTCCAGCCTAGGACATATGGCTGTGTGAAATCTCAGCTTTTGCTAACAACTGCCCCACTTCAGAAAAAAACCAAAAACCAAACCACCAGAGGAAAAAAATATATTCTCTAGCCCTCTAGAATAACTTTAAAAATGTCAACTGAAAATGAACACCAGACTTAGATTTATGAGGATAGGGAGGGACAACATCTAACCAAGTTATTTTTAAATGCTTGGGGGACATTGAATGTTTCCTATGCTTCACTACTCCTTGTCATGCCAGCTTATTGAAATTAATTATTCTTAAAATCCGTGTAACTAATCAAAAGGTCAACAATTTCACACAGAACCAGGCTCTGCATAATAATAATCCGAAAGCCTTGAGGCACAGTTAGCTCCAGGAGCTGGATCAAAAGCATCCTTGGGAAGCAAGTCTCTCAATGTCTGTCACTTACCAGGTTTGATGGTATTGCTGAGAGATCTCCAAGAAGGGACTGGGTTCCTCTTCAAAACTAGGCTGGAAGATCCATCTCAGGAGCACTCAGGTCAGGAGTTACTTTAGCACCACTTGCATGACAAAAAGCAGAGACTTTATCACTTAAATCAGTTCAAGCCCCTTCCTCCTTCCCACTCAAGCAACAGTCTTAGTGAAGAATTTTAGTTGCAAACAGAACTCTGATTAATTTTCCACTGATATTTTAAACTGGAAAATATTATCCTAAGCAGCATTATAGACCAGTTTTGATGTTTGGTCAGCATCCTGTAATGGACAGTACGAGAATTACTCAAATGCATTTCTTAGGGCTTGAAAAACTTCTCTCCCAAGAGAAAAGTCATATCTGCATTTTTAGCATGGACATGCCCATTTCCTTTCTAGGTGAGCCACATAAGCATCCTGCCAAGTTTCTAGCAGGAGTTGGGAAGCAATAAGCACAAGCTCATTTTAAGATACATATTTGAAGTTTGATGATTTTAGATTTCATTATCTGTCAAAGCCCTTCTGGGACAGTAACATTCCTCCATGTGAATACAGGAGTTATTCTTAAGACTATGCCTAATCCACACTTTCAGTTGTCTTTTCCCACTAGGATTCCTCCCTGTCTAGAAAGTCTGTCAGAGGCAGCTTTGCAGGTGGGGAGGATTCAGGGCTTCTGCTCGTTCCACCCTTCAGAATGGATTCCCCTTCACTCTGACACACTAATGCTGCTCTTGCTGTATCTGCCCCTATTTGGGGGGTCAGTCTTTCAAGCCACTCCCGTTCTGAAAGGAGGTTCTCAGCAGCCACTTGGGTCTTTTTTTTATCTCCTAAGCACACAACAGTTCTATAGATGGAGACTAAAGATAAAACTGTGTGAGTACGTGGAGCCAGGGCACAAAGAATTGTAGCTTTCACAGCAACAAGAGGGGGAACTTCTCCAAACTTCAACTGATCTTGAAGAACACTGTGCCAGCCTGGGCTGGGCTGCACAACCATCCTGTGGATCCCAACACTTGTGCTGTGCACGGTGCAGGACCAGCACTGCCAGGAGGGGGCTGAGACAGTCTCTGTTACAGGTCTACAGGGCTATGCTGAACATTACTTATGCTGAGATGACTTTTTTCTGCTGCACATCACAGATTACAGAAAATTATTGCCTTCTGATAGTTAATTTGGTGTCCAGCAGTTCACCTCCTTTCCTTCCCACTAACACTCCAGCTCTGGAGAAAGTCTGTTTTCAAGACAGCATAAAGCACTGCTGAGCAACACTCAATCTCAGTGTTACAAGCCAAGTGTATTTAAAGCCATGAGATGACTTTACCAGTCAAAGTGTGGGGATGTCTGAGGAGGACTTGACTAAAGCAGAACAGACATGTCTCAGAGTTGCTCTCCTGGAACACCTTTATTTCAAGGACTGCAGTTTCTGGATTCACACTACCTTATCGGCGTGCCAGAAGGTTTTGGCAGCACTGAGGTAAACAGCAATGGCAGCATGAGCTAGGGAAAGATTTAATGACTACACAAAGAACAAATACAGCTACAAAGAGCAATCTAAAAATAATCTGGCAGAGCATGGCTAGTAATTGCATGTCTTCTTTCAAGATTTTACTCTGAGGTTTTACCCCAAATGAGAAAGGGCCAACCACAGAAGCTGTGCTGGAGCCACGTGGCAGGGCACCACCCAGAGCTGGGCAGATGAAAGGGAACTCCCAGCAGAGCAAGCATCAGGAGAGCTTGATTGCCATGCAATTTTCATATCAAATCATGGTACTAGTATTAGCTGGAAATCTTAGCTACACGGTTAAGAAAATTCTTTTATTTTGCACACTTGAAAGTACTGAAAATCCCTGGAATATTATATCAGTCACTATGCAATTTAGCTCCTAGCTCATATTTGCTGTTGTCGTTAAACACTGACCACAATAAATAACTGTAGTTTTCTTACTGGATTTGCTTACTACATTAAATGCATTTGTCAGCCCACATAGTACTGGTGACCTGCAAACTGTTCAGGGTCGCTGGGAGAACCCTCAAGGATCAGCAACTAGTTGGTTAGGAAAAGCTATTTTTCCATCAAATTTGCAGTGCTCAGAACATTTGGATCATCTTGTGCTGCCCAGTCCTGCCAAAAAGTCCAAGCAGGGCCAGATAGTTCTGGGTACAAGCCAGACCTACTAAGTTACCCACTGGAACTTCAATATGACAATTTTCATTTAGTTGTTCATTTCTTACCAGGCAAATAAAGAAATTATTGCCTAATAATGCCTTTTCAGTGGCCTAAACAGATATCCCACAAAGTTTTCTAGAGTCTTCCAATAGATATTTTCCATGGAATAGCATTTGTGCAGAATTTCCCAACTGCACTGATGGGGCACTGATTGCATTTACTGTGAGACTTTGAAACTCTACAGACTGATTCCTAAATGATCCCCACAAGAAACTACTTACACCACAATGATCAGAGAATCAGCCAGGTTGGAAAGGACCTCTGAGATCATCAAGTCCAACCCTTCACTTTTTTTTAATTTTTTTTTTTTAAATCCAGTCCGGGTTTTCCCCCATTCCATACTCTGGAAAAATCCAGTCCGGGTTTTCATCACACTCCATTCTGTACTCCAGAAAATCCAGTCCGGGTTTTCCCTTCCCCCACTCCATTTCATACTCCGGCCAAAATCCAGTCCGGGTTTCCCCCTTCCCACTCCATTCCATACTCTGACCAAAATCCAGTCCGGGTTTCCCCTTTCCCCACTCCATTCCGTACTCCGGCCAAAATCCAGTCCGCGTTTTCCCCCATTCCATACTCCGGAAAAATCCGGAGCCTCCAAACAGTTTTGAAGATTCACCAACCATCCCGTTTAAAACCGTTACTTAAGTGTAATTGTCCTCCACTAGAATGAACTATCCCTCTAAATGATGCTGCTGAAACTCTGGAAGCCAACAGTGTTCATATACCAGCAAACAAGATATTCAAACTGATAAGCACTGCTTCTATGAAGCAATGGAACTTGAATTATACTGGGTAGTCTTGAGAAATATCCTCATCACCCAGGGAAAAAAAATGTCATTTACAGTATTAAAACACAACAAACTGTGGTGTTGGCAATTTCTTAATGGGACATTCAGGACCACTAATACAAGCTTATTCCTGGAGGGAAAAAAAGAAAAGGACCCAACACATTAGTGTAGACTTGAAAATCATTACCATGGGATTTAGAGGGAACTGGTTTGAATTCACTGCTGTAAGTAGGCTTCTTTAACTACCTGCTAAGAAGATACTATTTTGACGCTTGTCAAAATTTACTGATTTCAAGGTTACATTCATTACTGAGGTGTCCTCAGATACTCACCCATCCAGCTTTGTGCAAACAAACCCATCAGTAGCTCTAAAGGCTGGGGCACTAAGCCTGGCCTGGAAAGCATCTTTCTAAGCCTCTCAAGCAGAGGATTTTTACAAATTGCAGACTTTAGCACCTGCCAATGCTTTATGAACCCTCTGTATTTGCCTTCTTTACTGAAAATAGATTAAAACCTTTAAAAAATCTGCAGTTGTACCTTTTGTAAGATTCATATTCTCAATAACGCCGTTACTGAAGTTGGAAATGCTTAAAAGGACTTTATTCTCTATCCAGCTGCATCAACAAAGCTATATTCCCCACTATTTTAGTTTAAACATGCTATGAGTTACCTTGCCTCACTGGGAGTAAAAAAGAAAGTTGCCACTGTTGAACTGCAGGTGTTAAAACAGCCTAGAATCAAATTTGCCTCTAAAATCCTAGAGACAGAGTCTCACCACACTCCTCTGAACTGCAGAAATTAGTTGAATTTCTGTGCTGTGTCTGAACAGTGAATTAGAGCAATTTCTGTGTGATCTATTTTTACTGACACAAGACTTTCAAACAGGTTCAGACATTAATCACACTGAAGTTATTGCCATTTCAGAAACAAGTATAAGGCAACTGATGTATTTGCGCCCACAAATTCCAGAGGGAGCTTTTGCACTACAAGCCTACCTTTCTGTCAAAGGACTACTGCAGTTCTGGAGCCAAGTTACTGCCTGACAAGGCAGGGCAGGTTCTGTCAGCTCAATATCCCTGTCAACAGTGAAGATGGGGGAAACCATGAATCCCTGGTGACCTGGGCAGGGGGACGAGACAACACTGCATCAGCTGGAACTGGAGAATACTCAGTACAGAGCAAGCTACAAAAACATTTCAAGGACTCCTCGTGCTGGTTTACTTTACATATAAGAAAGCTGATCATTAGAACGACTTGCACGGAAGTCCTGTTTCTCTGAGATCAATTTTAAAAATACTTACTGCTTTTTAAGGTGTAGAACAGCACACCTATGGCTTCTAAAGTGAGCAGAACTTTGCCTGACCATCCTTTACTTTAGGGGACTAGAACATTCTTCAGCCAAATGTTATCCAGAGAAATCAGTTCACTTAGTGGTCTCTCATAACTTTGCTCTTTGAGACTGCAGACCTGCAAGGATGGCTCCAATCCATGAGCTGTAAACATGGATCAATCAACCTAAACAGGAATGGAAATGTCTTGAAATCATTTAAGCATGCATAAAAAAAGAGGGGAAGAAGAGGGTAATAACATTAAGCAGGAATCATCAATATCTAATATCAAGACAAATTAAGTAATTCAGGTGTTGCCTCCCCTCTCCTGTCCAGTGTCTGACAGTGAAATCCAACTCACCCATTTTGCTGCCTTCATCACTTTGCCCCTGTAGATTAAAAATGCATTCCCAGGAAGAGTTCTTAAAACAACAAGCAAATCCTTTAAATGAAAATTTAAGTTTATTTTGAATTTTTAAAATGTCATTTCTATCAATTTAGACACACTGTTTGACATTATCAGATCAGAGAATTTACAGTGACTCATGGATAAAGATTTGGCTTTTACATTCAAATGTTAAATACTTCAGAGTAGCTTTGTCTTGTTATTTCCAAACCAGAAACACTAAGGAGCATTTCATTTTGCCTTTCAACCACCTTTGTTAATTAACAGACTTTTGATATCTGCTGTACTTGAAGGGGAATGTGCAAAACACCAAAGGAATTACTCTGTTTGAATGAAGTGAGTACCTTAATTACAGTTCCAGATTTAAGACTCATTCATGGTAGCATTAAAAGACAGTGCTAAAACATGATTTTTTAAAAAATATATTTTCCTCAAGTAGGCTGCAGAACCTGACCAAGTTAAAAGCCTCTTCATGAAGATAAAAAGGTCTTGCTATCCAACATTAACATCACTCAGTCTTACAGTTTAGCAGTTTTTGTCTGGTATTCATTAATTATTTTGGAAACTATTACAAAATTTCATCACTATCCTAACACAATCCTTGTATTAGTGTTCAACAACGAAGTTCATTTCATCTATCAGACTTAATTGTGTTGATTTTATTGCTTACTACAGTTTATCTTCTTACTCTAGCACTACCTTGAAATCGGTCAAGTCTCCTCACTGCACATGTTTGTTGTTAATCCAATTTGCCCATTCTGGCAAGGAGAGTGTCCCTCAAGCTTGTACAACTTCATTAACTGTTCCAAAGTGACTGCCACTCTCCAAGAGGGACAGCCTCCCTACCAAGCATCTGAGGAGTTCAGAACTCCTCCGGTTTGTAAGAACAATGTGAGCTCCAAAGCCCTGGGGAAAAAAAAGCTTTTCGATTTTAGCCTACAACTGCCAGGATCTGCTGACACGGGGAATCTCACGGGAAGGTACTCACACAGTTTGGATTCCTTTGCACACACACCTCGGCAGAACAGGCTGCTGTGCCTTCAGCCAGCGAGGAGCACGGCGTGGAAGATCTGGGACAACAGCAGCAGCTTTCTGCTGGAATCAAGCCTTTGTAGTATTAGCAAATTTGGGGCAGGGGGGAAGCACAGGTTTTGTTTCTTAAGAGGAAAATCCTTGACAAACCTCACATAATGCATTTTCTCCCCCACCTTCATTTTCCCTGTCTGATGGCTCAGCACCAAGTGTGCCAGGAAGGCTCTCGGTGCCCCATTCCCTGGCACATCCCTGCCCAGCACACACACAGCACAGGGAAAGCTCTGCTACATCACACTTGGAGAAGCCAGACAAGAACCATGAATGCATCCTGACCTTCCCTGCTGGTAAAAGTCTGTTAACCTGCTAAATCCACAGGAATGATGATATGTAGCTTCACACCCAAGGAAACAAGTGCATTCACAAGCCTTTACAGTTCTGCCCCGATGCTGTTTTCACGTTTGTTTTATTCACTCTTTTGGATGACTATAAATAAGTGTTTCCACTATGGAAAAGAAAGTTAGCACAGTACATTTTCATGACTGGGGAATGGATTTTTCTGAAGACACCTTCCAAAGGGCAAAAGCTTAGAAAAAAACAACCTGAATGTTGATCTGTGTTCCTTATAAAGTCCCTTGTAAAAAAAATTTAAAAAAACCAAAACCAAAAAACCAACAAAACAAAACAAAAAAAAAAAAAAAAAAGGAAAAGAAAGAAAAAAGTAAAGGAAAAACTGCAAGGCCCAGGATGATTTTATTGCTTTTCTTCAGTTTTTTCCTTGGTCTCCTTCTTCTCAGATTCTCTGCTTTCTTCCTTTACAGAAAGCTCTTCTAGTTTTTCAGCAACTTTATCAGCACTATCATTTTTGTCTGTGCCTGCTAAAAGATTGATTAGGAAAAGTGTTACATAGAGGCAGTAATGGATTTTCCTGTTACAGGGGAAAGAGTAGAGAAGTGGAGGGTGAGGGGAAGGGACAGACAGCTGGTATTCAGAATGTGAACAAAAATAAAGACATTCTCCACCGACCACTGGAGTGACTCATTCCATTTCTTTTCCTCTGGTAATTATTATCTCAGATGTCAGAGTTCAAGAAATACCACTTGCATATGTTAATCACCACATGAGGGCCTATTACAGGGACTGAGAACTGTGTAACAACTGGCCAGCTGTGCTGCTGCCAATGACAAGCTCCACACAAGTGTCCAGACAAGACCCAGCTTCTTCTCATCTGAACCACAACAACCAGAAGTCAAGTTCCCCAGTCTGAAACTAAGGAACAGGAGTTCTTAAGACTGGCAAAGCCCAGTCTAAATACCTTGAATAATGTTGATGCAGACCACAAGTAGCCTGTACTTAGAAAAGCTGGAATTGTTTATTTGATATGGTGACACATCTTGGCACACAGGCAATTCTATAAGATGGTGCAACAATCTATTAAGAGACCTGTGAATAAATGCTATGACTTCATACACATTAACAACTATACAAAACATTAAATATAATACTTGCATGATTATATTTTTGTGGAATTTGGGAAAGGGAACTGGGAGGAAGAAACAAGACCGTGGTTGCAGTGTTCACAGTTCATTTGTGTACCATAAACCATAAATACTTCCCTGGTATGCTTTCAAAAGAAGCAATGTCCCAACAGCAACTGTAACAGCCTTCTACAGCAAAGAAGGCCATGGTCACTGGAGTGAGCTTTACTCTTGCAGACAGAAAAGCACCTGAACTGAAGGCTGCAGTTCAGCACAGAGTGAGTCTGCTGGAACACGACACTCCAGGGCACTGTCACCACTCACACAGCTGGAAAACTGAGACCACCTTACCTTTCTTTGCTTTCTTGCCTACTTCATTCCTGCATTCTTCAAATTTTGCCTTGAATTTCTGTGCATCTGTTTCAATGATAAAATATTTTTTCATTAGTTTTGCTGCCTCACAACATTGAATACTTCTGATCCTGAGGAAAGACACCCAACGAGAAGCTGTGTAAACAACTTTTGTAGGGACCTCTGAAGTAATCTAGTAAATCACACAGGATGCAAAATTCTTCAATCACATCTTTGTGCAAAAGCAGTTTATTTTCTTCAGCAAGTCTACTGAAGCAGTTTATTTTGCAAAATAATCAAAATGTAATGCCAGCAGGAGCTGTTTTGTAGTTATTGCAACTCCCAGCCGTCTCTGGCCTACAGGAATAGGAACATGATGTCAGAGACTGCTCACACAACTATCTGTATGCAAAAGACTGAAGATTAGCTCTGAACTACTATCTTTGTGAGCTATGTTATACACCAGGAGTCTTCCACAACCTTCCCATGACTTGGGTTCTTAGCATGAACAAGGGCAGCCAATGCCTGTTCCATTAGTACAGCACCCACACTCTGGCCCAAGGGCTGCACTCCAGCTGCTCCTGAGACAAGAGCTAAGAATGCACAACTGTCAGGATGTTTTGGTCTAAGCCACCACTCAATTCACTCCAACCAGCTGATTTAGTTACACTGATGTTTCTACACAAGTAATAACCAGCACAAGAGACAAAAGAGGAATGGGCACGGTGCTTCCTAACCCCAGAGCAACAAGGGAGGTAATTTCCCGTGCCAGGCTGGGCTGGCTGCCCACACGAGGTCACTGTTGCCCCACAGGAATTCTGAAAGCACTATGGAACTAGCCCAGGAAGAGCTTGGATCGATTCCTTTTCAAGCACCTCAAACAGAGGAGACACTTGAAGGACACACTTCTGTCTGTTCACCTGTCATCTCCTTAGTCAGTACTGCAAAGGGCAAACAGCAGGACAGGAATTCTCCCCCAGGACACAACATTCAAAAGGCTGAACAGCCTCCACCAGAAAGAGGGACTTTTCAAAGAAGATGAGCAAATAATTACCAAACCCTTTTAATTTCCTTTTTGATCATGAAGCAAGCACTAAGCAAGTGGATCAGAGATTTGTTTGGCTAAACAATGATGTTGGACATAAGCACGATACACTAAGTTCTTCCCAGATGTAGGCAAATTCATCTAGTTTTAGAATACACTTTATGATCCATCTAACATGTGGGGACAAAAGAAAGCTAACACACTAAACTGGTGTGGCAAATTGTGAAGCAGGAAATGCAACACTTTTTCATTTCACTTCTTTAAAAAAACCAACAAAAAACAACAAACCAAACCAACATAAACCCTCCCCCACCCAGACACTACTTTGATTTCATCCTAGCTGATCCATAATTAGAGTTACTTTGGTGTTGTGGTACTCAGTGTAGTTACTCCAGAAAAAAACACAAACTAGTATGATGGGTTTGACTGGCACTTCTCACTGAGAGATCCACTTAATCAAAACACAGAAGATACTACATACTTCATTTAAAAAAACCCCAACAAACACGTAGATGTTCTGCTAATGCAGATGGACCAGAAATATCAGATCAGGATTTCCCTGCTTCTAATGCAAATATCTTAACTACAATTCAGCACCTGAGATAAATGAACACAAGCTGCATGTGAGCCTCTAAACTGCTTTTAGTTTTATTCTAATTGGCATTGCACTTGCACAAAATGGCTTAGATTAAAAAAAGTGCCTAGGGCAGAGATTGAACAAATATTCCTAAAGGCCTAATTACTACAGTGTTTGTCAACACACATGTTTAGTGATTACCAGACTCCTCTCAGATAAAGAAGTAATTAGCTAACACTGCCATGCATGGTGGGACAGTGTACCTACAGCAGTGATTTACAGCAGTTCAGACAGGCAGTGTGACACAACAGTTTACAAGCAGGGTAAGTTCAGTGCCATCCACTCACTCTCTGCGTTTAGAAAGCGGATTGCCAGGAGTTCAGGCTTGGGGCACTCATCTGCAAAGTCAGCGTGTGTGTTCCAGACCCAGGCCCTGTCGCTCCCGGCGTTGGGCTTCAGCTCCATTAAGGGTGTGACTGAAAGGAAAGCATTGGAAGATGTACAGAGCACAACAGGAAAGGTTTTCCACACCAGCCTCCAGAAATCTCACTGGCAACAGCCTGCAGTGGTTATGTAGAGCACTTCACACAAGTTACTCTGGATAAATAAAAGACAGTGGTGCCCATATATCATTTTCCTTACATCACCAAATAAAACAATGCACCATCACTGTGTAAGAGGGTTCCCTACTGTTAAAAAACGGAGGGTTTGATTCAATTTTTTGTTTAAAACAGATGACTGTGATACTGAGATGCAGTCATTAAGCACAACTTTGAAGGCAAATGATTTAGGAGGAAAAGGTATCCAGACCGACAAACAGCATTCATTCTTCCTTTACACACTGAAAATACTACCAAAATTAGTTAAAAAAAAAAGCATTATTCCTTCAATTAATCATCAAATTGAGTTAACTTCTCTGCCATCAATTTAAAGCTGTAGTACAAGGTATGACAGAGTTCTGCAGCCCTGCAAGGTGTGCACAGTGTATTTCAATCCCTTTGTTCCCTCCCAGTAAATGGAGCCCTTTCCCTCCAAGATGCTCCAATTACTTCACCTGACTGACTGGAGAAGTTCTCACACTGCTCTAAGACTTGGTGCATTCCAGACATGCAAAGTTTAGGGAGGGTTTTTTTTATCCTTGATCCCTTGGGTCCTGTTTAGTTCAGGAGAAATCTGAAGAGTCTACTCCCTCCCTTGCATTTTTAAAATCTAGAGATCAAATTACATTTTGTTCCATTCAGTATTTTGCAAAAATGAAGAGAGTCCTTTTGTCTGCCTGTGAGTCAGCATAACTTCATTGAACAAATCTATACTGAGAGCAGCTTTGCCAGGAAAAAAACTCAAACAAAATTTGACATGAATATTATAAATTTATCAGTTCTGTTTTGTATATGCACATTTATTTCCTTAAACAAAAGGTTTTTTCTTGCTGGTTGGTGACTGCACTGCTTTCATATTTGCCATTTCATTTACTAAACAGGAACACCTGTGTCCTCTGAACAGTCTGACTTTCTGAAGGATCTACCCCAAGAAAACAAGAATTACTGCTTCTGACTTGAGGTTTGTATTAAGCTACTTCTTAATATAAGTTATCTAAATGTAGTTTAACTCCACAGACCACTATATACTCCTCCTATAAAAATCTGTTACCAAAGCAAGCAACAAAGTATTATCAAATTAATCTACTTGTTGCAATTTATGCTGACTTTCAAGTATGTCCTGCACTTTCATGTTCTTTTTATTCAAAGAGGATTCTTTTTTGAGTGAGTCAGCCCAATGTACCACATTCATTTCAGTTTATTTCACAAGCAGGGAAGGGCAGACAGAGATTAGTTTGGCACCTCAGTATCTGTTTTCTGATGGTTAAGGGATTGGTTCTAGCAGTTCCAAGACTTAGCTCTAAGTAGTAAATTATTACATGATGGGTTTTCTCACCCTTTTACAAAAGCAAGCCAGTATACACTAAATTCTTATCCCAAACAGTATTAAGGCCTGCATTTTCTATACTCTATCAATCATTAAAGTAAACTACACACAACTGGAAGTTACATAATGCCTGTCTATCCCAGCTAAATTTTAAAGTGACTTCAGTTAGTCTTAGAGCAGTATCAGAGTCCGAAGGAAAAAAATTGCACCTTCCTTCCATTAACAAAAATAAGCCCTAATGGTTTTTGATGCTTGTGGCCTTGTGTGAAGAGCAAGAGACAACTGTATTTACAGTCTAATATAAATTTGATGTCTGTTCAAAAGATGTACAGCACCTCTGTAGCTGCTACTAAAACCCCACGGAGTTCTTAACCTCCACTGTACAATTCTGCAGAGCCATTGTTTAAAACCCAACTAAGAAGTACTGTGGTGTAGAACTCACTATAATGGTTTGCACAGATTTTGAGAGTTTTATCCCTCCGCATGAGGAGGCGAATTGTTCCCTTCTCCTTGTGTTTCAGGAGTTTCACATCACCGGTCCCTCGCTCCTTCCACTCGGGATGCTCGTTCTCGGATGCGAACCGGAACAGCTTCGCTCGCCTGCAGGAAGAGACAGTTTAATTACTCTGCATGCAGAAACATTTGCTGAAACCTCACAGCTGACTGAACAGCACAGTGGTTTTGAAAGCCACACATCAGAAGAAAACAATTCCTTTTATAAGGGTCTCTGTTCCAATTCATCGCACAGATTTAGAAACTGATGGGATAAATTAAACTTTAATAATAAGCTATTAGAAATGATGTAATGACTATATTAAAATCCGACAGGTTCTGGACACTCTTTGAGATGACAAACACATTTGGTTTAGGTAACCTTTTAAATTCAGGGAGCTAATTAACAGATGTTGCTATAGCCAGAGTTCTTACATATAGGTACAACTGCTTCATCTTCCCAGCAATAGTAATTCACAAACTTTAGCAGCTTAATGCTAAGTAGAGACTCTTGTAAAATTCCAAGCCCAGTGTTTGATCAGCTGTTTAAGTGCCTCACCCTCTAGAGTCACTCATTTCCCTTTAACTCCAAAAGCCTACTTGCTGCTCTCCTTCAATCAGGAATAAAGTGGAACATGTCTGCTTCAGAACATCACTGCTGAACCTTCCAAGATGCCAGTGTGCCAGAGGAGAAACAGGAGGAGTTTGGGATACTGGTCAAAACTGAGCCAAGACACAGCCTGAGCTCTGCTAGTGAGGAGTTTAAGACAGTGGTATAGCACAGGAGGCACCTGCTCACACTGCAGGGCAGATACACAAATGCAAGGGAGAGGCACTTGTACTAAACCAGGGGCTTCAAGAGAAAGTGTCAGATGCTGGAGCAAGCTACTCTGACAGAGGCTCTGACTCACATTAACTACTTGGACCAAAGCAAGTCATTCCTTCCAAGGCCAGCTGGCATTCAGCAGGTTATTCCCCAAGTTTAACTATCAGAACCACCAGCATTCACAAAAAAAAGGACTCCTTTCCTCCATCACCCCTTTGCAGACATGAAAATTAACCTACAGAACACCAGAACTTACACTGTTATTTCACTACCACGATCTTTTAAAATAAAATAATTCTTTAAAAAATCCTTCCATGTGACGCTGGCCCTGACAAGCAGAGAGGCCAAAGGGTCAGAGATCTCACCGTGTACCTGTCAGAACCTGACCAGCACTTGAGTTATTACCAGCATCTGTGTAAGGAGAACTCAAACCTCTTTTCCAGATGAGCAATACCATTCTGTGATTAAGTAAAACCAGTATTTTTTAAAGCTATTTAAATCAAGCACATCAGGGATCAAACTCAAAACACTTCTTAAGCCTTTAGGCTACACTTTTCTTCAGGCAGATCAAGCTATCCTGATTTGACACTAAGCCCAATCTAGGGATAAAACTATGTTTTAGACAAGAAAGAGGTACTGCCACAAATGCCCCAATGCTGCATCTATTGCTTTTATTATTTCAGTACATTGTGCATCACCCTCTACCTGGGGATACATGGCAGCAACTCCATATACATCTCCTTTCTTTCCTCACAAGACACTTGTTTTACATTGTGATCACACAGCTTCAAGCCTCTTATTATTATTCAAATTACTGTTTTGTTTCATGCTAAACAGTTCTAAAGACAGATCTGCACTATCAGCTCCCTTCTATTGTTCCAAACTTCAGTTTCTTGGGGCATTATTATCAGTCACCCCCCAGTCAATCTCTGCCATCACAGTAAACACCAACCAAATTGCATTACAGCTTCATACAGCTTTTTATAAACAGTCAAGTTAAAGCATAATAAGCATTCAGATAACAGACAGAATTATTGCACTTACATCTTGAAGAGTTCTTCCTCATCCTCTTCCAGAGTTTTTATTTCTTGCTCAGGAAGGGAAACTATGGGCTCAAAGTGAGGGTCGTGGTTAGAATCATCTGTGTTTTCAGTAGAAGTATCATGCTCCTCGTGTGCTTCCTGAGGAGAAAGAGAACACAAACAAATAACTATGCTGTGAACCTAAAGCCTGGAGTACTTATACCTGTATTTAAAATTAAAACCTTTATGACTTTTCAGCAATTAGATCTTATTAACTGAAATACCCTGTAACAGTAAAGAAAAACTGAAAACAAGTGGCTTTCAAGTCAACATATGGTTAAAGTATGAAAAAAAAGGTGCTCATGCAGTGCTGGATGTTTTAATCCTACCACTCATGAATTGTGCAGAGGCTTGGCCTTGGAGCAATAACTCTTGGTTATGGAAAAGTAATTTCTTCAGCCATTTCTCCTATATAATGTGTTTTATGCTACTAAAACCCTACTATTTCTTAGAGTCTAATGACCCATCACTACTGGGAAAAATAGAAAAAAATCCCCCACACCACCAAACCAACCACCTAACCCAGCTTAAGGGACACACTGCATCCCAAGTTCAGCATTCTGTTTTATGTATTAGAATCACCAACAGCCAGAGATATTTTTGAGGCACAGCTCTAAACCTCATGCAATAATTTAAGTTTTTTGCTTTAATACTCTTCAAGGAACTTTAGGTTATTGGTAAATGGCCAAATTGCTACTGCCTATTTAAGTTCTTTAGGAATCTGTCATAGCATTCATTAAGCTTAAGAACAGTTTTTACTGTGTGACTAGTAGGCAAGTGATAAACATCTCCAGTGCTTCATACCTACGGGCTGCTGAGAAGCACTCACTACGCAAGCCTAGAAGGGAGATTCATGTGCAAGTTTAATGAAGCCACAAGACAGCTATCTCGGGACAAGGGAACTGATTCGAGTTTGGCTTTTTTTGTTTCTTCTTGAATTATAGAAAAAGGAAAAACAGTCTGTACATTGGGGACACTTAAATCCTACTTTTACTTTACAGATGAAGGAGTCCACTCTTACAGGCTCTGTGCACAACATCCTTTACAGTGCAGGTATACACCACACGTACATAAAGCGACTGAAATAAAGCAGCCTATTTCTACTAAATAGTGGGAAAAAAAAAGGGGGGGGAGAGGGAGGAGAACGAGGTAAGAAATGTTGCAAAGTAAAATCCAGTTGTATCAACAACATCAAACGAGGTATCGTTAGTTTTATGTCCCCAGCGTTCCAGAATGGGGGGAAAAAAGCAAGAAAGGCGTTACGTCACATCTGTTTTCAAAAAACAGGAAAAGAAGCATTAGCCAAACTTTTATACATTGTCCTGTCCTGTGTGAGCAGCACATGCCGCCGGGCAATTCATCGTCCATCCTGCGCCCGAGCGATTAGTTACAGAAGGCATGAGAAAGGCACCATGCACAGGAGCACACGTGAGAACGCGGGTCCCGCTATCACGATACCCGCGACACGGAGCACGTGGGGGAGCGGCTGCGGCACGAGGGGTCCGGCCGGGCCGGGGGAGGGGCGGGACAGGGAGAAGTTGGAGGAGGAGAAGAAAGGAAGGAGACGGGGGAGAGGGATCACCCGAGAGCGCCCGGGGGAACGGCCGCGGCGGGTGGGGCGGAACGGCCGCAACGCCCCGGCCCCGCGCGGCCCCCGGCGCGGCCCAGCGCTCGTCCCGGGCCCTGCCCGACCCCGGCCCCCCGCCCCGGGCCCCACCTGTTTCCCCGCTCTCCTCTCCCCCCGGCCCCGCCGCCCCCCGGCCCCGCCGCCCGTCCCTCACCGCGGTGTCGGCCATGGCCCCGCTGTCCGCGCTCCGCTCGCCGCTTCCTGCGCGCGCCCCGCCCGCCTTTACCTCATTCCCGCAGCCCGCGCCGCGCCGCCGCGAGGCACGATGGGAAACGCCCGCTGCCCTCAGCCCCGCCCCGGTGCGGCCACCGCGCCGCCCGCCCGGCCCCGCCGCGCCGGCCCCGCAGCCCGCCCCGGCGCCGCTCCCCGTGTCACCGGCCCCCGCCGGCCATCCCCGTGTCGCCGTCCCCCCGAGAAGCGTTTTCGTCGTCCCCGTTCCCCGGCGCTTTTCCCGGCGCCCCCCGCGCCATGGCGGCGCCCGCCCGCGGCAGGGAGGGGGGCTCAAGATGGCGCGCGCCCGCGTGAGGGGGGAGGCGGCGGCCGGGCCGGTCCTTTCATTGTGGTGTCTGAGGGCCGCGGCCGCGCCGAGGGGCAGAGATTAAAAACCGGCCCGATCGTCCCTCTGCCGCCGTTCCCCTCGCAGCGGCCCGGCCGTGACGCCGCGGCCCCGCCCCGGGCGGTGCGCGGGGCTGGCTGAGGGCATGGCGGAGGAACGCGGTCCCTGCGAGCCCGGCGGCCTCACGGCGCCGGCGGAGGGGGCTGGAGATGGGGCTGGAGATGGCGCTGAGCCGGAGAGCCGGGCCGGGGGAGACTCCGCTGAGAGCCCCGACGTGTACAGATACATCAAGGGAGACCTGTTCACCTCCGAGATCTACAAAGTAGAGATACAGAACCTGCCCAAGTACATCGGGTTTAACGACGTGAAAAAGTTCCTCGCCAAGTACGGGCTCAACCCGCACAAGATCAAACTCTTCGGGAAGCAGACGTTCTCCTTCGTGACGTTCAAGAGCGAGGAGGAGCGGGACAAGGCCGTGCGGGTGCTGCAGGGCGCGCTCTGGAAGAGCCGCCGGCTCAGCGTGCGCCTCGCCAAGCCCAAAGCCGACCCCATCGCCAAGAAGAGGCGGCAGGAGGAGGACGCGGAGCCGGGGGAGGCGAAGCGCGCGGCTCCCGCGGGGGACGAGCCCCTGAGCAAGCGGATCGCGGACGTGGTGACCCCGCTGTGGAACGTGCCCTACGAGGAGCAGCTGGCACAGAAGCTGCAGGAGTGCGAGCAAGTGCTGCAGAAGCTGACAAAGTAATTCCTGTTTGTAACGCTACTGTAGTGTGTACGGGACTTGGCCTTGTGATGGGATGTAGCTAAATTCACACCAATTGCTACCTCTAAAATGAAGTGAGTTAGAGGTAGGTCAAAACTCACATCCCCTGTCAAAGTAAATAGAAGATTAACCTGCGATGGTAGGGCCTAAAAGCTGTTCTAGTTGACAAAACTTGCTGTTCTCGGTCAGCTTCAAAAAATTGCTAAATGAAGGGGAATTGGTTTTAAAGTCTGTTGTTCCATAAGCAGGAGGATGTTTGTGCCCTTAAAAAAATGGCATTGTCAAAGGGTATAAGAGATAATCAATCTGTAGAGATGGTAAATTACTATTGGGCTTTTCTCTTTTAAAATCCCCTCAAAATTTTATGACCTGTCTTTGTAGATCAAAGTATCACTTCTGTCTCTTGCCTTACGTGGATAAAATTGGCATTCTTTTCATGCATGGGTACATTGATAAATCCAGTAAATACCATAGTAACTACATTTAACCCTTATTTTTTCAGGTCAACTCTTATAAAGTTGGAGAGGGTTTGCCTGTTAAAAAATTCTGGAAGAAATACTCTTCCATGTGATAATGTGATGCGTTTTTGTGCCCTGTACAAGAAAATGTTTTGTGCAACTGTTGACATCAACTTTTCTAACTGCGTGCTTTATACTTTTTGTTTTTGATTTGGGCAGGGAAATAGGAAATAACAACAGAGCTTTATTACCTTGGTTGTTCCTGCAGAAGCAGAAGTTTAATAAACTGTGTTGCCCGGTGGAGGGAGTGAAAGCGTCACCATTACAGGTAACGTCAGCCCAGGTAACGTGTGGGCTGGGGTTCATGAGCTGAGGGGTTCGTTCCTTATTTGGCCTTAGGAGACAGTGGACAGTGAGTATTCGACTTCTTGTAATAATAAATGATGAATTTTAGACGTTGTTGCCTTTCATGTAAATACTGTGTGGACATATTTATAGGAAGCAGAAAATAGACACAATTAACTGGATATTCTAACTTTAAAATGAATATGCTGTCCCTGCAAGCCTGTGCTGTAAGCTAATACATTCTTCAGCAGAGGCAATAGTTTGCTCTTTAGATAACAAGACTTACTAATGCTTTTCAGTGTTACTCTTAGTTCACACACATCAAAATCCATAAGTATCTTCCATATGAACTAAATGTCCTGTGTCCATTTGCAAATGCATTTAACCATATGAGATTTGTTTCAGGAGAAACTTGGCATGTACAAATAAATGCTATATAAATATCTTACATAACTTTATTTTGAATCTAGACTGAATATCGCAACAAATGTGAGTTCTTGATTGGGATTGGTGTAAATCAAGAAGACAAAACTGTGGGTTGTCGTCTTGGCAAATATAAGGGTGGTACATGTGCTGTAGTGGAGCCATTTGATACTGTTCACATTCCTGCTATTGCCAAAAAAGTAGTAAAAGCTTTCCAAGACTTCATAAGGTGAGCATAAGTAAAATGAGTTATCCGTAAAGGCTTTGATATCTTACTCAAAAATTATCTGTAAAATGAAATATTATGAAAAGCTTAGTGTTTGTTCTGAGCTCAAAGACCTAAGATGTACCAGCCTCAATTTTCAGTGATTCTTTCTTTCCACCTTGTGCCTGGATCACGGGCTCACGGGGTATTTTTCCCTTGCTCTTTCTGGGCTGCTCTGAGATGGGGGGACAGGTACAAACTGGACACAGTTTTATTGCAAGCAGTGGGACGTGTAAGTCTACAATAAAAAGTGTGTGTTAGTTGTGAGCTTCTTCCACTAACTGCAAAGAAATGCTTTTAAAAGGAGAAATTTGAATAACAAAGGTCCACTGCTTCCTGGGAGGAAGAGAATCATCCTGCAGCAAGGAATAAAACAGAAGTTGTACATTTAAGCAGCAATACTTTTTTAGAAAAATGAGTGCTTTCTTTAAAAAGCAATTAAATCTTCAAAAATGGAAACCTCAGAAGAATCATGAAGGTGGAAGGTTTGAAATTGGTATGAAGCAGAGAAGCTAATGATATAAAGGGTGGTGTTATTCTCTGAACGTGATAAGAAGCTGCCTGTTGCCTCTCTGTAATTTTAGATGGGTTAAAATGGGTAAAAGGATTTTGAGAACTAGGCACACATTATTTTGCTTTAGGAGATGTTATCTCTTCATCAGTCCTTTTTGTTCTTTTCTCTTAGTTGAGGTGTGGGAGTCATTCCTTTCTTGACAAATCAGTGCAGCCTCTGTTTGTACTTAACATTTTTTCCATCGCTTTGGATAGTGATGTTCTTTTGTGTCCATGAACTGTTTAATGTTATGCAAAACAAATAATTCTGTGTATAAGTAATGGAGCTTCTGCAAATTGCAGGTCAACTCCCTACTCGGTTTACAGCCCCGAGACCTACGAGGGGCACTGGAAGCAGCTCACTGTGCGCACCAGCAGGAGCGGCCACCTCATGGCCATCGCCTACTTCAACCCCCAGGTACTGCCCTGCAGGCAGGGGTGCAGCCCACACACAGCTCTGAGGTGCTTACATCTGAGTCTGTGATCTGTGCAGGCAGAAGGAAATACAACCACTGCTTGCTGTAGCCTGCCTTGCACTGCTACTCCATTCTCTTTAGACTGATACCTGGAAACGAACAAGTCGTTCCTATGTTATAAACAGTACACACTAAATCCCATCTCCAAGTCACTCCCGTGATTATTCTCCCTTCTTTCCAATGAAACCTGTAGAAATTAGGTAAAGAAGAGCTCACTGACCTGAAAAGCTCTCTGGCGAAATACTTCACAGAAGGGCTGGGACGGAGCAGTGGTGTCACCTCTCTGTACTTTGTGGAGGAAGGACAAAGGTGAGGGGGTTGATGTCTCTGGGGGACGGTGGTGCATGTTTTGTGTTTGCAGAACAGCAGGTAGCACTTGCACAGCCTTGTTTGGGCTATTTCAGAGAAGTAGCATCAGTGTTACTCATTTCTGCAAGTCACTTACCTTTTCCACAAGGGACTGTTGGAATTCCCCATTCTCTGGATGAAGGCAGGTAGAGTTTCAGTGGGTGAACCCACCAGTTGTTGCTGGCTGTCAAGCTGTGGAGGTGTTTACTGCAGTAGATGGAGGTTTATTATTATCAAGTAACTTCTACATCCTTTCTTCCCTATTTCTGTGATTCTTTTAATCTCCCCATCCTCCCTCCTAGAGCACAAGGCTCACACCATCTTCATCCAGAGATAGGGTAGGTCCTACAGCAACCAGCAGTGGAACAATTGCACACTGCAGGGCTAAATGACCAAGAAGAGTCTCTAAGAGATGATAAATGTTACTGCTTAGGATGCAGCACTACAATTTTTGGGGTGACTACAGCTTTGGTAAAAATTGTAACAAACACGTTTGTCTTTTTTTTGTTTCTCCCCTATTTTGTCTCCCCATTCTTCCCCCACCCTCAGGAAATCTCCCAACCTAGAAGACTTGCCTTTGGAGCATGTGGCTGGTGACAAGTACATATATGAAGAACTTCTTGGCCTAAAATTTAGAATTTCTCCTCATGCATTTTTTCAAGTAAGGATGATGTGAAGTTCCTAATTTCACTGGATTTGCATTAATGCCCCTGAGCTTGACTAATGCTGTGGAACAAGATATTATATATCTAGTGATTTAATCTTTTATATTTAGTGTGATTAAATATCTCTCTTGGCTGTAAAAGCAGTGAAGGAGTGTAAACTCGATGGGAGCACACTGAAGACAACTTTTTCTTTATACGAGTTCGTTTTGTTTGCCTCCTGTTCCATGGCAGGCTTTTGGTAACACTGAACATGCAGTGGATGGTTTGGGAATCTTGCAGGACTCATTTTTGTTTGCTTTTCCAAAACTTATTTCGAGCCTTCCAGCACTTTAAATGTGTGTTTTTAACTTACACGTGAAGTTGTGTCCTAAGAACAAGAAAAGGTGCTTTGCTAAGGCTCACTCAAGCACATTTCCTGTTGCTGAGGAAGTGTATCCCTTGGAACTCCCTCTGCAGGTGAACACGGCGGCTGCAGAGGTTCTGTACGCGGCCATCGGGGACTGGGCCCAGCTGAGCCCCGACAGCACCGTGCTGGACATCTGCTGTGGCACAGGAACCATCGGCATCTCCCTGGCCAAGGTGAGCCCCTGCTCCTCCCGGGGACAAGCTGGGGTAACTGCCTGTCTTAGCTAATCTTAAGGGTGGTTACAATGAAAGAAAATACTCGATACATCTGAAATGCAGCACATTGGATCTTAATTTTTTTCAAACAATGTCTCATTAAACTGCCTGCAGCTGTTTTACCAAGTCATTATGGAAGCTCACCCTTGTGTTGAGCAGCCTGAATTATTCTGAAACTAATTTAGTCTGGACTTTCTCAGCAAGCTCTGGATATGAATAACCAACATTTCTTACATCTGGGTAGAGTGGAGTTTGCTAGAGCATGTAAGGAAGTCTGGCCCCCGAAAAAGAAAGATGCCAGCATAACTGGAGTCTGTCTGTCCCGTACAGGTTGGGATAAAGGGTGTTCATCCCACAATTTCAGTTGAAAAAGTCACTATGGATTTGCACAGTCCCTTCTCAGCCTTTTTCTGCCTGCAAGGCAATAATTCCGTGACCAGGTACTGGGCAAAGTTCCTGTTAATTGCTGATGCTATGAAAAGTGGTTAAACTTACACAGAGGGAGCTTTTCCCCTTGATTCTGTAGAAAGTGAAGAAGGTGATTGGAATTGAGCTGTGCCAAGAAGCTGTGCAGGATGCCAAAGCCAATGCCCAGATCAACGGTGAGTTGAGCTGAAGTGCCCTGTTTGTTAAGCAGTAGTTGTACAGCCAGTTGCTCTTTACCTTATCTGAGCAGCCTGGAATTACATGTTGTTGATAGTGATCTTGTCCATTTTAAACACTTAATCTCTCTTGAAAACAAATACCATGTTAACCCACAAGATCAATTCGCCCATTGACTAAAAGCTAGCTTTTTTTCCTTCTTCAAGTGTAGAAGTGAAATGAAACCAGTTATCCTCCTAAATAAAACATTAACAGTAGCTGTTGGCTGTGGGGTTTTGCTTTTGTCCAAATAATGGAAAATGCTCAAATTACTGTTGTTTAAATGATCTGAAATAACAGTGATTGTTTCAATGACACTGATTTCATGGTAGACTAAACAATTTGTAGTTTCTAAGGCATCAGAACTTAATATCCAATGTAGTGTACTGAAAATGCTTTGGTAAGTACTCTGACATCCCTTCTTGTTCTTACAGAACTGAACAATATTGAATTTTATTGTGGGAAGGCAGAAGATGTTGTCCCTTCCCTGATGAACGTCTTGGCTCCTCAGAACCTGGTCACTATTGTGGATCCCCCACGGGCAGGGCTGCGTAAGTTCCCCAGCTGGGGCTGTTCTCCTCAGGGGTGCTGGGTGGGGAACCCAAGGGAACACCAGCGGGACACAAATGAGGTGGAGGCTGCAGGGACGGCCTGGACCAGCAGGGTATTGCAGCAGTTTGTTCCTGGAATTTCTTTGCCAGTCTGTTGCTGCACACAGAGCCACTAAACAGCTGTCTTGGTTTTGATCATCCAGATTCCAAGGTAATTCTTGCCATTAGAAGAGCAGAACATCTGAAGAAGCTCATTTATGTCTCCTGCAATCCCAGAGCCGCGATGAACAACTTTGTAGAGTGAGTGTTTCTTGCATTAGGTTGACTTAATCTTAAGAAGACAAATTGTGCTTGCTGGGGAGAGGGAGCTCTTAGAAGAACAGCAGTGGTGATGAGCAGACTAAAACACGGATTAATTTCTTCCTCCCCTTTCTGTCCTTTCCCGTTCAGCCTTTGCCGGGCCCCGTCCAACAGGGTGAAAGGAGCCTCCTTCCGCCCCGTGCGAGCCATGGCCGTGGATCTGTTCCCCCAGACCAGGCACTGTGAGTTACTGCTCTGCTTCGAGCGCGTGGAATACCCCAATGGCAGCTCAGCAGCAGCTCAGCCCACGGCGGGAGGGGTCCCCTCAGGGAGCCAGGCAGCTGCTGGCCATGGAGAGTCACCCTGACTCAGAGACACTGCACAAACCACTGCCTTGCCAGCTGCGTCCATAACATCGTGTCTGTAACACCCAGGGAATAAATCTCTGTACAGCAGAGTAGGTGCAAGGCTTTGAGTTCTTTTATCATACTCATGAATTAAATTTCATTATTGTGGAACCACAGAATGGTTTGTTTTGGAAAGGACCTTAAAGATCATCTCATACCAAGCCCCCTGCCGTGGGCAAGGACACCTTCCACTAGACCAGGTTGCTCAGAGCCCCGTCCAACCTGGCCTCGGACACTTCCAGAGATGGGGCATTAGGTACTATTAAGCCCAAAATCTACTTTTCTCCTCATGCCCATAGTGGTCTCCCTCTTTGAAGTGGCTTTAAATAAAGTATTCCACAACTCTGTGCAGATACAACTACTTGAAACCTGGGCTGATTTTTAATGCACCACCCCCCCTTCCCGTGAGTGTGACACCCCACCCTTAGTGAACAGCTGCTACTCACCCCAGCCAACAGCAGGCACTCCGGAGGGTGTCACTGCCACTGCCACTGCTCCCCTGGGCTCTGCCAGCCTGTCAGAACCACACCCTGTCTGAGGAGGCAAGTGAAGATGGAGCAACCTTAAACCTTCCACAGATCATTTCACTGCTGACTTTTCCCTAGGAAGTGACGAGCTCAGTCCAACCTCAGTGCCCCCCTCCCCTCAGCCACAGTCAGTCTGACCAGGCTGGAGCAGCACGGACGGGACAATCAACGCTTGAGTGTCCTAAACCTCAGAGCCAGGCCCTCACCCTGCAAACTGCCCCCAGTCAGGCCATGGCAGGAGAGGGAAGACACTTGTCATTTTTGGTCAAGAGGCTCCTCCTCCTCCTCTCAGTGTCAGTGAGGCTGCTCAGGGGGTGCCTTCAGTCGAGTACCTCCCCTGGCACAGTGATCTCCAGGAACTTCTGTAGCCCCACTGAAGTGTTCTGATCCTGCAGGAGCTCTGAAAAGGTAACCTTGGCCTCACAGAAAGTGTATTTCTGGAAGAGCTGTGTAATTCAGGGATCACTGAGGAATGAGAAAACAAGGAGCACAGCCTCATCTCCTTCAGTGTTTGAGTTATAGCTGAAATACTTCTGGATCCTGGTGCTCTGTCCCAAACCTCTGCCCTGGGCTCCAAAGGATCTTTCCTCAGGTATCTTCCCAGCTGTTTTAGCGTAGCCCTGTGCAGCAGGAGACAAAGGCAGTTGGTGTTTGAGACAAACCCCCAGCACAGACACACACCAGGACAGTGGCCCCACTGAGCACCTGCAGCTGCACTTCCCGTGCGTGGAGACAAACCTGGCTGAGAGTCCCAGCCCGGCCCGAGGTGCTCTCCAGGCAGTCACTCTCCAGATCTCAGCAGCTGCCATGAACAGACTGTGATCCACACTCCAGAGCAGACAGAGCACCGACTGGGAGAAGGAAAAACCATCTTAAATCTCAAGTTACCAAACATACTTCTGATACACATTTAATGTGGCCTGAACAACAACAGCCCACAGCTGTGCTGACACCCCACCTGTCCAGTGACAGCAGGTACCAAAAGCAGCACTTTGGGCTGAGACACTCCCAACCTTGACATCATTTAAGTAAAAATACAAATCCCAGTTCAAGAAAACACTGTAATTTAATTCCAAGGGTTTAACCATTTAAACATTCAATTCCTTACCAAGAAGGGGATCAAGTACTTCCCTAACCAAGAAGTTAGAGCCTGCACTAATTTAATTTTCTATTAAAAACACCTACAGGACTCAAGGAATAAAAAAGTTCCTTTTTCTAGATATGCTTAAGCCATGGTAATACTGATCACACTGGTGCATTTTATAATATCAAACTTTATTGCTCAAAACTAATTGTCTGAAAAATACACATGTAGTACTCAAAGACCAAACACAGAGGATTACATGATTGTGCAGAAAAAAAGCAAGCAGAGGCTCAGTGAAAATGAGGCTTTATAGTTGTACCAATTTAGCACTGGCATCAAGCAACTGCACCCACCACAACTCAAAGAGCAACCATTGTTACCTGCTCGGGCAGTACGGATGGACTCTGGTTTGTTTTGTTTTCCCACCTCCAGATACACACTGGAATACTGCAACTGATCATTTATTTGGTTAATAACAGCATGGCTTCTTGCACTTCACATTCCTTCCCACGGAAAGTCAGGAGGATATCACTTCCTCAACTTCACTCCAGGACCAAAGTACAGTTTAGAGAATTAATAAGATAATCATGATGCTTTTAAATACTTGGATGTTACAAATATATTTGTATAAAGCCTAACAGCATCACAGGAGAATGGAAGTTTACATACAACAGTTAAGTTTATGCATAATAGTCTTTCCAAACTTCTGAGTACCCAACTAATTCATCAGTTCTGCCTAATAAATATGTAAAAAAGCTGATGACTGGTGTTTCAGTAGGTAGCATCTGACTAGTCACTGCAAGTCACAGTAAGTTTTCTGTCAGTACCATGAAGATTTGAATGCACACTAATTGAATCCTTAAAGTCAATAAACCACACTTTTGTCAAGAAGCACATAATATGCAAAGCAAAACTGTCTAATCCCCAAAGGATGGAACAGTTCTTAAAAATACACTCCATCCCTATAAAAATACCCATCTTCCTCTGGATATAGAAGGGATAAATAACAAGTATCAGTGACAAAAGCAGCAGTTGTTTTATGCATTCATACAATCAGATCTAAACCTTTACAGCCGATTACCTAGAAAACACACAAGTTACAAGACAAGTTTAGGATACATCTTGAATCACACTGTAAGTGTTCATGCAGAAGCTGAAGTTAATGCAATGATCTATCCTCTATCACAGCAGCTCGTGCTTATGTGCAAATGCAAGACTGTTACACTCCAAACAATAGTAAACATTAAAACACAAGAATACTCCACAGACATAAACAGCAGTTCCTTGTTTGTTCCAGCAGTTATTGCGGGTTCCTGGACATCTCTCCAGTTAAAGGCTGCAGCAAGGTCTGATACCATCGTGGTGGTTGGTTTTTGTTTAGAATGCATAATACACGTTCTAGGCTTTGGTTCACAATGAAATCTCTGGGTGTTTATTAAGGGCAATGGTCACCTTGTGAATCTGATAGTGGCAGAGTGAGGTAATACAGCAATCCTCTTAAAATTAATGAAAACAAATTGGTAAGCGAGGCATCTATGGATATTCTGCAGGTGACCTGCAAATGCATTGACATTCTGGTTTCAGAAAAATAAAAAGATCTACAAGGGTGATTTGTCTTTTACAGTGCCATCCAAGTACAGATTTTTCTGCTGAAAACAGAGAAGCTGAAATAAAACCTATCTATTTAGGCATAGAAGATATAAGCCCTGTCTTTAGGAAAATAAACAACAACAAAAAAATCCAATAAAAACAAAGAGACAAACAGCAATCACTGCTTGTCACTGCTGCACCAATATTATATACCCTTCAAAAGATGGAGATTTATTAAAGCTATACAAAAAAAAGCAGAGGCAGTGTTTTTTGTTTCTTTTTTTTTTTTTTAAGACAGGCCACTTCTTTAAATAATAAGTTCATGTATAGTCTTCCAACTACCCGTATCCTGTTGTACCAGGATTACAACTCGTGGAACTAAAAAGCTAAATACAGTAATAAAAAAATGGATGGATTTGTATTTGCAGAGACCTCCGAGGGTATCACTCAAACACAGAAACAGGTGAGACTCCAAGACTCCTCCTGTTTAACCTCAAACATCATATGCAACACGTGAGAGAACATCAGCTTGAAATATAAATTAAACTCCACGTATTTCCAAAGTAATGCATGATGTAAAAGGAGGTCTTACAATACTGATGCCAACATTGTTAAAATCCAGTAGGCACTAAATTCAATATACTGCAGCACTCTCCATGTAACACAGGAAATCAAAAACCCCCCAGCAAAAATCAAAAGAAAAACCAAAGCAAACAACCCCTCGAGCCCCCAGGTCCCTGTCCAGGTAAGGGGCAGGAGCTGCAGCAGGTGCAGAGGAGTGAGCTGGGTCACTCCCCAGAGCAGGAGGGTAGGACAGAGCAGAGCAGCTCCTCCAGGAGTCACTGAAGCACCAGCTCAGCTTTCACTCTCCCCTCGCAGAGCCAACACAGAGCAGTTCCCAGGGCAGACACTGCAGTGCCAGAGACCCCAGGGATGGTTCCCAGGGCAGACACTGCAGTGCCAGAGACCCCAGGGATGGTTCCCAGGGCAGACACTGCAGTGCCAGAGCCCCCAGGGATGGTTCCCAGGGCAGACACTGCAGTGCCAGAGCCCCCAGGGATGGTTCCCAGGGCAGACACTGCAGTGCCCCAGAGAAGCCCAGTGAAGAACAAAGCCCACGAGCGGGGCCTTGGCTGCAGCCACAGCTCCTCCTGTGCTGTGCTGCCAACACCTCCTGCCCACACTGCCTGGGCTGCAGCTGAGAACACTTTGCATATTTGTGACTTCCTTAGTTAGGAGCATAGCCAGTTATGGTCTCATTCTACTCATTACTCTATGTCATAACCCAAATCTACATTCTAGTTTGCAGAAGTTACACATTGTCTTTAAAAACTAAAAATGTAATTAAAAAAAGTAAAAACAAAGGCTTCTTAAAAAAAACCTAAATTGCTGCAGTTATTTCAGATTTTAGGGTTGTGTTGATTCTTTTTTAAATTCTTGCTTTTATGATGCAAATTAATTAAGACTTAATTGATCAAGTCAGATGTAATCTGACACCAAACAAATAGGAAATTGTTTTATTGCTGGGAGAAGGGAGTGGAAAGTCTTTAAACACATCATTGGCAAAGTATATTTAGACTATCAACCATCATCAGCTGCATTTTGGCTCCAAGCTTTGAAAACACCCTTTCAAACTACAGTTTTTATTTTAATCATACAACTAGGGCCATATTTTCCCCGTTCAAGTGATCTGTAAACTAACACAGGCTCTTTTTATTTCAAATAAAGTCCAGTAATTTTGGATATCCAACCTGTTACTCTTAACACTACCAGGTGTACTTGTTCTTTTCAAGTAGTAAAAAAATCTGTATCCTGTGCTCTCAAATAACTAAGCCTGGCAGGAGACAAAAAGCAAAACAAAAACAGCATTACTGGCCTAATCCTATGGCATTAGGAACATTGCTCATCACTTTCCTGTATTTGTCACCAAAGTGTCTTATCAGTGCATATTATTATGTGCTGAAATGCAACAAAACTTTTCACAAAAATAGTTTTAGGCATGTTCATACAAGAAGATGTACATATATTTCTTTTATATATACATATATATGAATGTGTATATATATAATATCGGCTTCAACCTGTACATAGATATTCTGAATTTCATACTTAAAATACATCCATTTCAAACAACATGGATGGCTTTCCAGGGAAAAGTGCTTGATTGATTTTATCCTGTGTGAACATGCCTGTGCTCTGTGCATTTGCCAAGTAAGAGACCTTTATGATCGATCCTTTAAACGTACATATCTCAGAGGTATTAAAAAAGGAAAAATACCTAACCAAAGAAAAAGAAACTAGGAAAAAGTAATATTGCCCTGATGATGCAAAAAGAACAATGCATAACTGAAGCAGCTTGGATTTTAAAAGTTATCTTGCATTCTGCAGCAAACAATTTTTAAATAATTGTTGAGAATCTAGTTCCTCCATTTGTGTTATTGCTCCCCACTTGCATTTTCTCCTCACACATCAACAGTGCAGAGAGGTTCACTCCCAGGCTGAGCCGACTCCACTATTGTCATCTTGGGTTTCTTTCGTGTTTCCTCCTACAAAAATATGAAACAGCCCCCACCACACAGTCATAAAGAGAAGGTAATCATAAACACCATCCCAATTCTGTACAATTTTAGCCAAACTTCTGTCAATCGTTGTGAAAGGCTAACTTGGGCTGATGTTGAAAACAAATTTACTGAAGTAGGTACAATTAAGTTATAAGACAGTTTAAAAGAGAGGATGAAAATCTCTCTAGAAGTCGCCCCCCAGTCAAGTTTTGAAGAGCTCAGATTTTGAGATACCGGGTAAAACAAGCAAAACCATCTGACCATTGGTACAGGTGAACTGTGGCACTTGTGCTCTTTGTAAATCCACAACAACATTTACTCACTCTTTCCTGTGCCAGTTTTTTCATTTCTTCCTGTAACTTGTTCAGGATGTGCAGATTTGGCTTGTTCTTTTTGGCATACTGCTGAAGCTCTATCACACTTCTATCAGAGGTTTCCTATTCAACAGAACCACAAGCAACAGCTGATCAAAATAATGTACATGAAGCAATAGTTGTACTTCCTTAAGTAATAACATCTATTTCCACAAGTCAGGTCAATGTTAAATATTTACCAGGTTATATAATTTTGATCTGGAAGATGCAAGATTAACAGTGATTCCTGCCAGTGCAATCACTCCTCTCGTGTTCTGGCAACAGCAAGGTC